TCACTTGGCCAAGACACTTAAACATCTACAAATTTAAGAGAGTGTATCTTTAGAGTTGTAAGCTTTAGAAAATAACAGAAAGAGTTTTTATATCTCTTATGTGTGTCTTTCTTGCTTAACAACTTTGTGTGAGGAAGGCCGACTTGGTTTGTCTTAGAGAAGAAGAGAGCCGAGTGCCACACGTGAGTTTGGGAAAGGCCAAGTACGTGACAAGTGGTATCGAGTCAAGTTTTATCAAAGTGTGAGTAAGCTTGCCGCTAGCTAAAGTGTTCGAGGGAGTAAGCATGTTTAGCTCCGGCATGAAGGATGTTCACTGGAGATGCTAAGAGTGAAACTCTACCTCCTCAACCTAAGAAAGGAAGGTATAAGTCTTATGATGTATTAGTTTCCTTGGAGGAGTGACTCGTGAGGGTAGAGGAACACCTTGTCGATTTTAAGGAGAGACTCGAGGAGATAGAGGGAGATGATGAGGGAGAGACACTAGGCATGGTAGCCCTACGTGAGGTGCTCTCCAATCTCTAAGCTTGAGTGGAAACGGTTGAGAGGTGTGCCAAAGAGAATGCTATCGAAAAGGATGCCTTCATGAAATGGATAAAGAAGAGGTTCAAGCAACATTAAGAGTATATGACCGGGTATGAGCAAACTCTCGAACAACTTATAAAAGATTGGATAAATTATCAAGAAGCTATCTCGAATGGTGTGGTCTTGAGAGACATACCAAAAGTTAAAGTGCCAAGACCAAGACACTATGCCTGGCAAGTGAGATGCCAAGGAAGTTGATAACTTATTTTAGCAAGTGGAGCAATATTTCGAGACAATGAGCTTGATCGAGGATAGAAGTCGCATTAAAACCGCTACTCTCTACCTTTTGGAGGATGTCGCTTTATGGTGGCGTATGCAACACCAAGAGCTTAAAGGGGAAAATCTAGAGTTGTCTAGTTGGGATGAAATCAAAAAAGTTATGTATGCTCAATTCTACTCCAAGGAAGCCAATTGGGAAGCACGGGATAAGCTACGAGCATTGAAGGATACGGGAATTATTCACGATTATGTTCGAGAATATGTTACTCTTAAACTTCAAAAACGTGAAAAACCCAACTATGATCATATGTAGATTTTATTAAGGGGCATCAATCATGAGCACAACAAGAGGTACGGGGTCGAAGACTTAAGACCTTCACCGAAGCCGTGGCCATAGATGAATCCCTAATTGAATATAAAAAGAAGGCAAAACCTTCTAAGCCCAAGAAAGACTTCGAGTGGTAAAGGTAGGGGAGCCTACGAAAAGATGGGGTATAAAGATGGAGAAGACAAAGCACACAAATCCACAAGCTTTGTCAAAGAACACGATAAGAGAGAATTCAAGCCCAAGTGGTTGCTACTTTTGCAATAGGCCATATCGAGTGGAGAGAGTGTCCGAAGCAACAAGCCTTCAATGCCTTGATAGAGGAAAAGGAGTGTGCTCCTAAGTATGAGAAACATATGGGATCGTTGTAGTTTCTCAATGCCTCGAATGTTAAGCCCTCACCTAAGGTGCCATCAAAGAATGAGCTTATGTATATGGATATGAACGTAAATGGCAAGGCCACACTCGTCATGCTAGATATGGGTGCCACATATAATTTCATGGTTGAGGATGAGGCCAAAAACACTTGGCTTGGTGGTAACTAAGTCATCAAATAGCATGAAGGTGGTAAATGTTTCCCATAAGCCTACTTATGGCGTAGCGTGTGGGTTAAGGCTTAGTATAGACGTATAGAAAAGGATGTTAGATTTCACAATTATCACAATGGATGACTTCGAGGTTTTGCTAGGCATAAAGTTCTTTAAACAAGTGAAAGCCATGCCTACACCTCACTTGGAGCAAATGGTGATCATAAAAGAAGAAATGCCATGCATGGTGCCGACCAAGGTGCATGCTTAGATCAAACTTGAAGCATCTTTCGACTATGTAAGTAAAGAAAGGCTTCAAGAAAGGGAAGACACCTACTTGGCAACATTGAGAGAAGACGAGATAGTGGATCGTGAGGGTACGAAAGTACCGAAGAGATCGCTAACATGCTGATCGAATTTGATGATATGAGGCCATCGAGTTACCCGAGAAGTTGCCACTTAAAAGAGAAATTGATCACCAAATAGAGTTGGTGTCGGGTGCTTAGCCGTCAACCATGACACCTTATCGGATGGGCCCTCTCGAGTTGGAGGAATTGAGGAAGCAGTTGAAGACCAATGTGGTAGCCGATACACTTAGTAAAAAGGATGAGTTGCATCACATAACGAAGGTGAATGGGGAGATCATGGCCAAAATTAAGAAAGAAATGGAGCATGAAACCATCGCCGAGAGTTTATTGGCCTTTGTAAGGAAGGGCGAGACTCGAAAATTTTAGGAGGAGGATGACATTCTCTACACAAAAGGGAGGAGAATTTATGTGCCTAAATGGGGAAACCTCCTACAAGATTTAATGAAGGAATGCCATAGCTTGATGTGGGCTGGACATCCGGAACAACAACGCACTAGAGCCTTATTGGAAGAAGCATACTTTTGGCCACGATTATACGATGATGTGGAGTCCTATGTGAGAACATGTCCGGTGTGCCGACAAGAAAAAGTTAAAAATCAAACGTTTGGGGGTTTATTATAGCCTTTGCCTATCGCGGAGAGACCATGAAAGATAATCACCATGAACTACATAGTGGCTTTGTTGAAATTAGAGAACTATATGAGCATTATCATAGTCGTAGATAAGTTCTCCAAGTATACCACTTTCATACCGAGCTCCAACGGATATGACGGTCGAGCACGCCGCTAAGCTACTCTTCGAACATGTGGAATCAATGATCAAGATCCTTGATTCACTAGGAAGCTATGGACGAAGTTATTCGAGTTACTAAGCTCGAAGCTACATTACTCCATAAGTTTTCACCCTCGAGGCGGATGGACGAACCGAGAGAGTTAATGCCTTATCGGAGACATACTCGAGGCACTTTGTGAGTGCCAACTAGTGAGATTGGGCTAATTTACTAGATGTTGCCCAATTCTTATATAACTTACAAAAGAGTGAGTCTACCGACAAGAGTCCATTTGAGATCGTGACGAGTCGGCAGCCTCTCACTCCACATACGATGGTGCTTGGTGACAAGTACCGAGGAAGCGGCTCGAAGTGCATATTCATTAGCCAAAGAAGGCGAGAACGAGCGGACTTAACACAAATGTATTTGAACAAGGTTGCCAGAAGATGAAGAAGTGGGTCGACAAGAAACGAAGAAATGTCACCTTCTAACCAGGTGATAAGGTGATGGTGAAGTTGCTTACCACAACAACATAAGGTATTTCAAAAGGTGCACAAAGGCTTCATACGACGATATGAAGGACCATTTGAGGTAGTGCACAAGGTAGGAGAGGTGTCCATTCGATATTTCATGTTAGTATACTAAAACCATACCATGCGGACGAGGAGGATCCAAGTCGAGGAGTTTCTCATGAGGCACCTATAGCGAGTGATTGACTCGTATGACAAAGAAGTTGATGTCATACTTGATGATCGCATAATCGGACGCCGTGGAGTACCACTAAGAAAGAGTACTATGTGAAATGGAAGGGATTACTTGATAACGAGGCTAGTTAGGAACTCGTTGAAGCCTCGTGGCGATTCGCACGAGAAGGTCGAAAAGTATAATGAAGACGCGCCGAAGACGTCCCGAATTAGGTGGGGGAGAGTGTTACGCTCCGCTTAAAAGAAGGATTTTTCTAGAGGCTCTAGAGAACACTAGATAAGTTTGGAAGCTTCTAAAAGAGTATAGAGCAATGGAGAAGCCTCCAGATAAGTCCGGAAGCTTCTGAAGAGTATAGAGCATTGGAGAAGTCTTTAGGATGATCTGGAGAAATCTAGACATGATGTAGAGAATTATAGAGAGTCCCTCACTAATCTAACATGTACATATCTAGATAACATATCTAGATAATTCATTGTAAATATCTAGATAGGATATTTCTAGAGAAACAATTGTAGCCATTAGATTAAATAGATCGTAACCATCCATTGAGGAGGTGGTAGGCTATAAATAGGTGAGGTATTTACTTGGCCAAGACACCTAGACATCTACAAATTTAACAGAGTGTATATTTAGAGTTGTAAGCTTTATAAAGTAATACAAAGAGTTTTTATATCTCTTATATGTGTTTTTCTTACTTAGCAACTTTGTGTGAAGAAGATTGACTTTGTTTGTCTTAGAGAAATCGTAGCCATCCATTGAGGAGGTTGAAGGCTATAAATAGGTGAGGTCTTCACTTGGCCAAGACACCTAGACATTCACAAATTTAACAGAGTGTATATTTAGAGTTGTAAGTTTTAGAAAGTAATACAAAAAGTTTTTATATCTCTTATATGTGTTTTTCTTACTTAGCAATTTTGTACGAGGAAGATTAACTTTGTTCATCTCAGAGAAAAAGAGAGTCAAATATCACATGTGAGCTTAGAAAAGATCGATTCAAGCAGCTATTTATGAATCTTCTGTTATGAATCTTCTGTGTTCAGAAAATGAAGCGTATACCCAAACCCAATCCAGTCCAAGTAAGAGGCCAGATTAAGGAAGACGCAAGACATGATGACATTAATAAATTATTAAGTTGAAATTCTTTTATTACATTCGTATTTTTCTCTATTCAATAAACCAATTGAGAGCCTCAACAGCGCATGGGATGATAGCATCTTCCATCATTCTGGTCCACTGTACCGCCACCAGTCTGGCCTCCATTATTCATAATGACTATATTAACCCTATATTGTCAATCTCAGTTTCAATACCACAAATAGATAAGGTCAATTGTGTCTTTCAACAATTCTTGAGCAAGATCGCACGTTTAAAAGAATCATTTCAATTCCGTTCCGTATTGAAGATAAATTACAAGTGTTGTTGTGTGGCCTCAAAGCGCTTGGAATTATAAACGGCAGCCAAAAACAGACCAGAGAGAGAGAGAGAGAGCGGCACAGAAAAGAAACATGGTTGCCCCGGCCAAGGTAAGCTGCTATCCTCACACCTTTTTCTTCTCTTTTTCCCTTATAATTCATTTGTTTTTTCTAGATTTATATTTTATATAGCTGAGATGGATGTGTATTATTTAGTATTTTGTAGATTTACAAAATTGTGTTGATTTTTAGTGGTTGTTCTATGTTGAAATTTGGATTTTCCTGTATCTTCGAATTTTGTTGTTAATGGGTGATGCAATCAGCAGTTGTGTTTCGGTTAAGTTAGTTAGGGCGATTAAATGTAGCGTTAGTGGAGACAGGTGAATGAGGGAGTTTCCGCGGCGCCTTTGTTGGTGAGAGATTTTTATATGGGAAATTGTTTCCCTTCCGAGGGCATTCTATGTAGCATTAAGTGCTTGTCAATTCCGTTCCAGCTATATTTTGAGAGTCACAATTTCATAATTCTGTGATGGCTGATGAGGAGTAGATTGACTGGGACCAAATCCACATGCGGAATAGAAACTGATGTAGTTTGATTTTACTTAGTTGGCCAAGTCTATTTGGTGGTTCCTGGTGACATGATTAAACCAGCAATTGGTCATTGGCTTTATGGGTTGGGTTAGGGGTGGAGGATGACTGGTTGCCTACTACGAGAAATGTTGAATCCTGGCTCTTTTTATAGCTGAAATTACGAGTTCTTTTTGCCTTTTGTGTCTGTGTCTGTGTCTGTTTTTGTCAATTTGCCTTAAAATGAATGTGTGGTAATATTGCATCTTCTCTCCCCAGGATCCCAGAGAAGAAGTCATTCAAGCATGGTACATGGATGATAGTGACGAAGATCAGAGACTGCCTCATCACAGGGAGCCCAAGGAATTTGTGTCTTTGGACCAAATTGCTAGTAGGAATTGCTTAAAAGTCGAATTTGAATGGGCTTATAAAATTGTTAAGAGTATCTAAGTTACATATTATCTGCAATTATGTCTTGCCTCGCAGAACTTGGAGTACTTAGTTGGCGGCTTGATGCGGACAACTATGAAACAGATGAAGAGTTGAAGAAGATACGCGAGGAGCGTGGATATTCCTACGTGGTTTGTCATCTTAACTCAGCATGCTTATACAAATGTGCTGTATTCATTATGATTGCTTTAGAAAAAACTGGGAAACAGTTCTTACTTTTTTTTTTTTTTTTTTCTTTTGGCTGAGAAGTGGGAAGCAAGTTTGGTTACTTTGCACTGTTAAGTTGACTGTAAATGGTTTTTTTGTTTTTGATGCAAGACATCAATGTGATTTAAAAGAAGATTCTTTTAAAACTGATTATCTACTTTAAGTCAGGGATCTCTTAAATCCTCTAGAATGTTGTTCGAGTGTCATGATAAAAAAAAATTGTATGTCGAAAGTCAGATCATTGTCACATGACAATTAGTAATATGCACAATAGGAACAAGGTTAACTAAATACGACTCTCTCTTCAGGACTTCTGTGAAGTTTGCCCAGAGAAGCTGCCTAATTACGAAGAGAAGATCAAAAACTTCTTCGAAGAACATCTTCATACTGATGAGGAGATCCGCTACTGTGTTGCTGGAAGTGGTAAGATCATTTTGGCTCCCCCTAACCCCCACATGCACATTCGCTTCAGCTACCAATTCACTCTTCCTCACTTTCTCTACTTGGTGAAGGTTATTTTGATGTCAGGGATCATAATGACAGCTGGATTCGCGTTTGGGTGAAGAAAGGTGGAATGATTGTCTTACCTGCTGGAATTTATCACCGCTTCACATTGGATTCAGATAACTATATTAAGGTATATAGCAAAACATATGCAGGAGAGATATTTGCTTGTGAAATAATGGGAAAAAATAAAAAAATTTACTTGGGAACATAGGATTTAGTCGTAAAACTGTTCTCCTTGTCCAATGGTCAATTCTGATCGTTTGTGATGAAAATTATGACATCTGCGACTGTCATGATTGGCTCTAACCTTAATATTGATAACCAGTGCTCCTATAGTTCTGTAGTTACTGCCTGTTTGCAAATGATGGGCAAGGAATGATTTTCATATGGGGGAATGTGGCTTTAGATCAAATGCTAGGTATGAGTTTTTGATACTTCCATCTCTGAAAGAAGATCTGGCGTATAGTCAGGATGATTGTTCCTACACTGCTGACATTTTCACCTGCTAGACCTTGGCATGGATGCCCACCGCTGGTGTCCTTGCCATGCCCATAAGACGATGCTATTCAGTGAGTGATTTATTTGAGAGGTAATTAAAGTAGTGCGAACTTCATTGAGACATCAAATTAGCAATGGTGCAATCCTGTTCTACTTCTAAGAGGACCTTAGTGCATAAACCATCATGCCATGCACATAAGATGATGCTATTCAGTGAGTGATTTATTTGAGAGGTAATTAGAGTGAAGTAGTGCAAACATCATTGAGACATCAAATTAACAATAGTGCAATACTGTTCTACTTCTAAGAAGACCTTAGTGCATAACCCATCATGCCATGCACATAAGATGATGCTATTCAGTGAGTGATTTATTTGAGAGGTAATTAGAGTGAAGTAGTGCGAACATCATTGAGACATCAAATTAGCAATGGTGCAATACTGTTCTACTTCTAGGAAGACCTTAGTACATAACCCATCATGAGAATTTTGCCTTTTTAACATTTTCCCACGAGGAGAACGTTGGAGTTATTTTAATTCAAGCAGCATAGATCCTTGTGGGGGTAGTGATGCTGTTATAGTTAGTTGGACATGAAGAAAGAATCAAGCTCCAAGAATGGCAAAACCTAGCAACTGGCCACATTTTGATGCTTGATATGTAACCTTATTTGACATAGACTCCACCAGGATTCCTTGCATGAATCTTCTTATGCTGAATGAGTTTGAAGTGGCACGTACCCCTTCTAGAGTGATCGTATTGATGCAATTGTGCCTGCATTTAATCAACACATGCATACGAGACTCTGATAAGACATATTTCTTCAGGCAATGAGGCTCTTTGTGGGCGATCCAGTTTGGACTCCATTCAATCGTCCACATGATCATTTACCTGCAAGGTATGTTTCTTCCCCGTTTATTTTCTTAAATCTCTTGTATATGTCTAGGCAATAAGATATATTATATTCAAGAAGCTTCCTAAGTCTAAGAAAGGCTTGCATTGCAGGAAGGAGTATGTGCAAGCTTTTGTAAACAAGGAACACAATGACCGTGCTGTTGATGCTGCTGCATGAAATCTGCTTTTGATGTTGTCAGCAAAACTGAAATAGTAGCATGATCGTGTTTTTAAAATAAAATCCCCATTCTTGGAAAGCAGAATTTAAAACCTTACTAGCTGTGATAACTATATCCATGCGAGGCATTGTACCCCTTGTTAACCTATCTCTTATGTGGCTGCTTGTGCTTGTGTACTGTAGCTTGTTCTTACTTGCCTGCAACTCAATAAACTTCGGACAGTATATCTCCTGTCATGATTGCTCTCTCTCTCTCTCTCTCTAACATGCGGTTTTTCGTGCTCATGGAAGATGGCGGTGGTTGTGATTGCTGAGTGTAGTGAAAAGGACGGTTATGCATTCGTAAGCCTCATGGGAAAGGGGGTATTCATCCACAATCATCATTCATTGATTGAATATTTTACTCTTAATATAATATTACTAATAGGATGGCATACTGACGATATAAGCTAGACAGGGATCTGCGTTTTGGAGTATTTCTTGGGTTTTTTTTTTCGGTTGAAACTCGAAGGTCCGAAGACTGAATTTATTAGCAGGAGCATTTGTCTTGAATATAAATAAAATTGGTCCAAATAAAAAAGAAAAGGGTTCCACCGGTGGGAAAGCAAAAGCATGTTTGCATGGGCTTCTAGTTTAGTAACATACAAAATTAAAAAGATAATTGAAAAGGGAGAGAATGACGATGAAGATCTTCAGTCTTGGGACATGATGATGAGTTTCATCATGGCAGGAAGGGATGCAGTTTATTCTCGAGACATGGTGATAAGTTCAATGGGGACAGGGAGAGAGAGTTTTAACCGTAACGATGTTTTTTCTAGCTGCTTTCTGTGTCATTCAAATGTCGAATAAGAATGTTAGGTTATGGATTATTTAAAGAGTTGTATTTGTTGAGGCATTGCTTCTACGAGGCAAGAAGGATCTATCCATCCATAGCCTATGATTTGAAACGTGCCATAGTACGATTTCTTCTCATCGACATTTATGTTAAGAGTATGATCTTTTTTTGCCAAACCTTCTTTAAAAACCACGAGCTGCACTGAGTCCTGGCTCCGCTCTCCATTTTTTTTCTTTTCCTATATTTCAACTGTTTTACGACTAAATGGGTCAATTTTTTTTTTTTTTTTAATTTTATTCTGTTTGAAGCCAAATGTGTTAAATATTTTTTGAATTTTAATCTATATAAAAAATTATTTTTTAATTTTTAATTTTCGGTCTGATCTCTTCTGAATTTTATTTTTTAAAAGTTTTCTGCTAAAACTATCGATCACATAAACAATCTCATCATGAAAATTATTTAGCAAAATCTATGTATAGCTTTCTAAAAATTTAGGACCATTTTAGATTATTTTCTATTTTTTACAATTTTAAAGTTTAGAAAAAAATGCTTAATGATGAACTTGAAAATTCTAGGATTATTTTCAGAAAATGAATTGAATTTTTCTTAACGTGTGTATGAAATTCCAACTCAAAATATCAAAAACTAATTTTTTTTTGGAGGAAGAGGGATAGTTGGAAATCATAGGATATATTTTTTTTAAAAAAAAGTTAAATTTAAAATTAAAAGTTTAATAATTGATTTCAAATGAATTAAAATTCACAATAAGTTTGCCCTGTATAGTCCTATTTTGAATCCTTTTCATATTTTTCTTTTTCATGACATCTTGTTTCTCCGTTAGTATCCTTCTATTTCTACAAATGTAAGTCTTTTCCGTAATTAAATTAATATATGTTCGCTCTCGAAACTTTGATTTCTTCCATATGCATATTCTTGATCTGTCCCTTGTAAACTCATATTTATTGTATCTCAAGAACCCTTCACGTAGATTCATTCATTAACTCGTTTAAACTTACATTGATTGCCAATGCTGATTTGTTTTTTGTGTTCTTTTCCATGACCACATACATTCATTCATTTAAATGTTCATTTTGTAAATTTTCTTGTTCTATAAACAGCAAACATATTCATTATTCATTATAATCTTCATAGAAATTCTCTCCAAAACAGACGACATACAACGGCTGAATTAATCACCTAGTTAATCACTCACAACAAGTAACAAATGTCTAATATCTTGAGTAAATATAAATTAATTTATTTAGTTTTGCAAAACTAATTAAATAGTCTCTTTTGTTTAAAAAGTGAATTAATTAGTTTTTTAATTAGTATTGATTGTGTTAATTTAGTATTATTTTGTTTCAAAAAATATTTTTTTTCTCATCAATCTTTCCATTTTTTTTACTTATTTTTTCTTTTTCTATTTAATAAAATAACAAAATAAAAAAAAATTGAAAAAGAATGAAAATGATTAAGTTACAAATAGATTTAAAATATAGAAACTAATTAATTAGTTATTGAAACTAGAGGAACTATTTTCTTTTTGAAAAACTAGAGGGACTAATTTATAATTTACTCCTAAAATACTACATGAACAACAAACAATGAACCAAAGTTGTTTTATCCTTCATTTTCATGGTATTAGAAGATTAGAAGAAATATTTATTATATTTTTCTCTAATTAGGACAAAGAATGATATTGATGATTTTTTTAAAAAAACTATTAATTTCTATAAATAGGTTGTGCTTGTTTTTAATTAGTAATTTCTTATTTTAGTACTTTCTTATTTATACCTTTATATAAAAACCTAAATTATATAAAATAATTCTATCTAATTGAGGAAAAAAACTAACATTGATGATTTTTTCTATTTAACTAGAAAAAAACTAACATTGTTCATTTTTTTTTTTTTGACTAATGCTTTCCTCTATTCCCTTGTGTGTTTTTTTAAAGTCCTATTTTTTCTTTTTTAATATCATCCATGTACGTTAGTTTTTGTGATCATTACATCCTTACACCTTACACTAGTTTGTGTTACTAACACCGTTAAAATTTGACACATGACAACACAATTTTTTTTTTTATTGATGTACATTTAATTTGATTCCTTTTGAAAAATTTACTTTGATCTCTTTATTTCATTTTTCTTACAAATAAGTCTTTAATTAAATTTTTTTGGTTATCAAATTTTATAATAAATACAATTTAGTCCCTAAATTATTATTTTTCAAATAAGTCCCTACATATCACATCATAAACTTGGTCGGAATCAATATTCCCAGCATATCAATGCTTTTTAATATTCGATCAATTTTATTTTCATTCATTAATAATAGCTCAAATTTTAAATTTCAAATGCCAAAAAAAAAATTAAAATTTTTTTAAATTAAAACAACCACATGCATTAGAATATAATAGGAAACTCCTTCTATTTTAATTTCTCTTCTTTTTGAAAGTACGACATAAAACTTTCATATAACTACATACGAAATAAAATAATATTATTTTTAATTTTTAACAATGCTTATAAATAATCAATGCAAAATTTTTTAAGGTTATGCTTCTTGAGTGCTTATAATAAATATATATCTCAACTATTAACTGTTAAAAGTTTGAAAGATAATTCAATTTTACGTCCTTAATTTTTTATTTTAGTGCATTTAATTAAAATTTATTATTTTCTATGGTTTAAAAATCAAACAAACTACTTTAGTTATAAATTATCGATATTTATATGAAGTTATTAAGATTTTGAAATAAAATCTTTTAATTTGACAAAAAAATCCATTTTTTATTTATAAATAATTTGAACAAATTATTAGAAAATAGAAAAAATATTATTAAATAGTTGATAAACCAGCGCCAAGCACGTTCTAAAAAAAAAAAAACTAATATTATCAAAGAATTTGGAAATAAAAACCCGTTAAAAAAAGAATTCTGTAAGCTCCAAGCCACGAGACCAATGAGCCATCATGGATAAAAGATTACGAACATGGAATCAGCAGGCGAAAGAACCGCAGCCAAAAGACACTGAAAAGTACGAAGAAAGAAAGCCCAGGCTGTTAAAAAAATTGCAAGGAAACAGCGAATGACCATAACACAGTATACATAGATTGCCTTCAGATTAGTGAAACCTGCGAAGCTTAAGAGAGTTGAAATGGCAATCGAACTTCAGAAATCGTAACCACAAACAGGAAAGAAGTGAGAGACCCGAGCACTTGATACAATGTTTTACTTTTGATTGCAAAAATCTAGCACGTAGAAGGCATAAATTGACCACGGACCCTCAGAACTGTCAGGTTTAGTAGGATATGGTCTGTAAAGCAGTTACCTTAATTCCCTTTGACCAAATTGTTTAGATTTTGAAAAAACTGTCACCTTTCCCAAAAGAAAACAAGAATGAATTGTCGGACCAAAACCGGTACTCGTAATTTCGGAAGAGTTCATTCTAAGTACGAATGTACAGATTACATTCCCTTGAAAGAAATTCACAATTTTACTCCAGATAAGAGGTGGATCTGGAGAGCAATAATTCGATTCAAAAGTTACATTTGATCGTCCTCTTCAACGTCAAACTCCTCTTGTTTATGTGGAAATCCACTTAGATTTGGTTGTGTCGGGTATATTCGACGCGTTTCTACACTCATCTTCCAGGCTCTTACATTAATGATTAGTTTTGCATTTGTTTAATGCCCTTTTCTCCACTCTTCCATCATCCTCCCAACCTGGTATCGACACGTTAGCCCATAACGTGTTCTCTTCGAAAACGAGCAACTTGTCTGCTGATAGTTGAGTTAAAAATATCTAACTTCTGCTTGTGTATGATTGGCTATGTATGATGCTGGATGGCCAACTACCCCACACCTGTCAATTTCGGGTGGACAAAAAGTGCATCGAGTTATTACCATGTACAACAATTAAACCAAAAATATCTGAAAGAATTTCTTCCGAGACAGCTTATGAAAAGTGGCCTGGCATGCTTGTCTTAGGTGGGTACGTATATAGAATTGAACCTTCATTTTTTCCCAACCCATTGTGACATTAACAGGGAAAGTAAAAAGATTCTATAATTTAGCAGCACATCTATCCATTTATTTTCAGAGGCATAAATATCAATTCAAGCCCTGAAAAAACATAAAAATATAGTTAGCTACACTCTTCATATTTTTTTTAAGCAAAATTTAATATTTGAAGAAAAAATAATAGTTGTTTTGTAGAGATAAAATTTGATTTAATTATAATTTTACAGTTTATAAATAACAATTACAATCATACAAATTAATTTCTTTCAATATCCAAATCTTATGAGGAAAAAGAAAAATTACAAAGAACTGCTATCTTTGACTACTGAAAATAGTCTCCACAAATTTGGTGTGATAAAAAAAACTGTGCAAAGAAACTATGTAGTTTATTTTTTTAAAAAAAAAAACAAGTGAAAATGGTGGATTAAAACCGTAATTTATTTAATAACTTTGTTAGCTTTAATTAATGATTTGTAGAGAAGGGTCTAATTAAAAAATAATTCTTAATTATATTAAGAACAGTTCAATCAATAATAAACAGGCTTATCCTATCTATATATTCTGCATCCAATTATTATTATTATTTTTTTACCGAAACAAAAATTCGAATAACAGTTTCTTCTTCAATTACAAATATCATAATGGAAGAGACATATTTTTCATCATGCAATCAACTCAATACCCATTAGGCCTGCCAATTATCCATGAAAAAAAAAAAAAGAATTCAATAATTGTTACCCATTGATAGATTAGGGTCTGTTTATTCTCGCTAAAAAAAAAAAAAACACTCCCTCTCAAAATGTTTGATTGTTACGCTCACAAAATTTTAATCTGAAAAAAAAAAAAAGCACATTTTATCTATTTAATATGTTGCCAAAATTTTAAAAATAAATTCAAATTTTGTCACTTTTACGTAAGCGACAAATATTATGGGAGGAAGAGAGTACTTATCAACCAGAGAGAATAGAAGAGTTGCAATAACTTTTTCGGCTTTGATAAACTTGGGCAAAAACGCAGAACCTTTATGATCCGGTAACCGATCATATCATTATCAGCCTCTTATTCCTGACTGAAAGAGCCGATGGACCTGTGACACAGTCACCAGGCCAAACTATACCGACACAATACAAAAATGGCGAGGCTGCCATGCCAATCAACCTGAAAGAAAACCTTTGAATTTATTATTTGGCCAACCGAAGTTCCAGTTTGACGTATTGTTCAGCACTTTTCGCTTTGCCAAATCTTCTTTATCTAACAAAATTATTAAAGAGTGCCGTGACATAGTGCCACAATTTCATACTACTACTTTACTTTGACAACAATATTTGTCGTCCAATATATCTGTGCCCACCACCCCATAAATATTTCAGCTTCATTTCTACAAAGCTCTATAATTGTTCTGTCAGTGTGGGCTTTTTCTTCTTTTCTTTTTTTTTTTCCTTTCTCTCAGAAGGTCAGTGTCAGTTTTAAATTAAACAGTTTCATTGGTTATATATATATATATGTATGTATGGAGATCGGGACCCCATACTTATAAAAGACATAAGGGTGGGTCTCCCGCCCCTTTTCTCTTTTGCATTTCTCATTTTATTCATCCATTTTCATGACCTCAAAAAACATCAATTCATGCCATTGTTCTGAAACCAAAGCCAGCTAATTGCAAATTCACTCTCAAACATCACCATCACATCTCCATTCCTCCCCAGCAAGTTCCAGAACATTCCAATCCAGTCCCGATTTCATAACCACAGCAAGAAAAAGGACAAGGATAAAAAAATCTCCTGAATTTCTCCAGAATCTTCTATGATTATGAAAACTTGTAAAATCATTACTAATTCAATTCTAAATTTCTAATTACTTTGGCAAATCAATATTTTCCCACTCTATAAATGAGGCTAGAACTTCGTCGTTTTTGGTTTTGACATAACTAAAGTGTAGCACGAGACTTTCCCAAAGGAGAAAAAAGTGATTTGGGGCAAAATATCTCTCATCATCGTATTGCCCTATTTTATATCATCATCATCACCCACTCAGCTTCTGACTATTGTACTCTCAGAGTTTAAGAAAAGGCAAAGATAAAAAAAAATCTCTCATCAGCTATTTAAAAACTAGTACTAACCGACCCTTGGCCTAAATTTTACATCTTGTATTGTTCCTCAGCTCCTTCTGCTCCTTTCTGTTTATCAGTCATCATTACTAGCACAGAGTCCTCCCAAGTCCGAATCAGTCTCTCTTCCTCTCTTTTTGTATTTTTTGTATCTTAGGTTCAGGTTTCTGATGCATTCAAGATCAACAACATTTCATGAGCCATTAGGAGTGATATATAATTTCCAATTTCAAAAGCTTTCAAAACTTAGTTCATTCCAAACTGCATTCTTCTCAAGGTTAGGCCTTTATACCAAATTAGTCTACACATCCACCTAACAGCAAAATCACATCGATAAACTCAAAAAAGAAAAAGAAAAGAAACTAACCCCCTCAAATCTTGTCTTTCTATCTCAGTTAGGTCAGTTTCCGAATCATGAATCGTCGGGGCCGAGCGATCAAGGAGGAGCATACAGGAGGGAGTTCAAGTAGACACTCATCAGGCATGGCATCTACAGCTATTCCACAACCAATGGAGGGACTCCATGACCCAGGTCCTCCTCCATTTCTCACCAAAACTTATGATATAATAGAAGATTCAAGCACAAACCATATTATTTCTTGGAGTAGAGGTAACAACAGCTTTGTTGTTTGGGATCCCCAAGCCTTGTCCTTGAGTCTCCTCCCTAGATACTTCAAGCACAACAATTTCTCAAGCTTTGTTAGGCAGCTTAACACATATGTAAGTACTCTTTCTTTTTAACCTTCAGATTGATCAACTTTAACTCATCTTTAATATACCGGAAACCAATATAGGGAGTGATAAATATTGCTTTTTAAAAAAATTAGTACATCACTGTAATTTCATGAGGGTTTTCTTTCTAGATGTGACGGCTTGCTTGTTCAAGAACAAGCTGGAAACTCACAGCTTTCTCTCTCTTAATTTTTTATTCTTTACAGAAAAGATCTAATTGGTCCCTTTTGTCCAATTTGTTTAATGGGTTACTCAATGGGGACATTTTCCTTATTTAATATATATTTTGAAAAGGGGAACCGCAGAGATCAAATATGTATATATATTTGATGCTATTGTTAGGTTGTTAAGCATTGGCAGTGTTTCCACAATTGGTGCGTTAAAAAAGTTATGACTGTTTGATGTATGGGAAGTTCATTAAAAACACAACCTTTCTAATAGCCTGATAATTGAGCATAAATTTTAGTTCATCCTTCGTAGCTCCTTAGTACTGTTGTTGAGAGTTCATGTACTTATAAATTTTTTTTTTTTTAACTTAAACTTTGTTTTGGAATTGATCAAGGGGATGGAATTTGGATTATGTAGGGGTTTAGAAAGGTTGATCCAGATAGATGGGAGTTTGCTAATGAAGGGTTTCTCAGAGGGCAAAAACATCTTCTCAGGAATATTAGGAGGAGAAAAGCTCCTCAAACTCAGACTTCTCAGGAAGCTTTAGAGGCTTGTGTTGAAGTGGGAACATTTGGACTAGATGGGGAAGTTGATCGATTAAGGCGAGACAAACAAGTACTAATGGTGGAACTAGTGAAGCTTAGACAGCAGCAACAGACTACTAAAGCTTGCCTTCAACTTATGGAACAAAGAATTAAAAGGACTGAGAACAAACAGCAACAGATGATGAGTTTCTTGGCTAGAGCAATGCAAAATCCGAACTTTATGCAGCAACTAGTCCAACAAAAGGACATGAGGAAAGAACTTGAAGAGGAGATTAGTAAAAGAGAAGGCGACCGATTGATCAAGGGCGTAGTAATGTTGAGGTTGTAGAATTTGGCCATGGTGAGGGAGTGGGACCGCTTGTTAAGATTGAACCTCAGGAGTTTGGTGATCTTTCTGAGTTTGAAGTTCCAGAATTTCACAATCTGGCTGTGAACATGCAAGGACTAAGCGAAAACCAACTGATCAACTTGGAGGAGGAATATATTGAGAAAGGAGAAGAATATGGAAATGAAGGAAAAGACATTGATGAGGGTTTCTGGGAAGATTTATTGAATGAGGATATTGACGAAGAAATAGCAATATTGGGAGGTGAAGGTGAAGATGAGGAAGATGTAAATGTGTTGGTTGAGCAGCTTGGTTACTTGGGTTCTTGTCCAAAGTAGAGGAATTGATGCTTGCTGCTGCTTTTTCCTTGTTGCTTCAGTACTGGAGTGGGAGACTCTCCTAACTATCTAACTTTCTGATTTCTTGTGGGTTTGATTCAGATATCCTGGCTGACAAAAGTCAATTGAGTATCTTCCGATGGGTTTGATTTGGCATTGACAGGAGACTGCCAACACAATTGCAGTAGAAAGAATGTACTCCGAGTAAGCAAGGGCAGTGTCTTGTTTGAAGCGATGAAAACAACTTTCAATATTTTGAGATCTTTTACGATAATACTTTTTTTTTCAGGTTTCATTGAATATTAACTGATCTTATTCGATGATTATAATTACTTCTTCATCTCATTTCTTTTGTCACTTGATTATGTGATCCATGTTGACAGCCAAGTAGCTTGGAAAATCATGTTATGGTTCTATGATCATCTTTATTTATCATTAGTCTTAGTATCATTTATGATCTTGTCAATACCCGTACTTGCCTATCTAGCTAGAGCAGGCTGTAATTTTTACATGTGGCTAGTAGCTAGGTCTTGATGTGTGTGTTTGTGTGTACCACTCGGTGAGTCTGTATGTTATCTGCCATAGTATAAGGAGCACTAGCTTTGGAAGGCATGCTCAAAGCATCAATCTTTTTTTTTTTAATTATCTTTGATAAAGGCATTATTTCCTGGTGGAAAAAAAGCACCTAAAAGAACCAAATTACGTATTGCAAGTTTTTTTTTTTTTTACAATTAAAATTAAAATCAATCAATAATAATTAAAATAGAATAAATAAATATAATTACAATCAACATATGAATTTTTATATGAAAATCTTGATGTAAAAAAAATCTATGGAATTGTAGCTCACTCAAATTTTTTCACTATATTAAATAATAGGATATACAATTCTTTTTAAACTCGATTAAAAGATACACATTAAAATGTTAATTAAAGTCATAATCATACAAATGAATTTCAACAATAATAACAAACAAAAGGTGAGATTTCACCATGTAGGTTTTTAGAAAATATTCAAATATATAAACTTTTTAATGATCAATACTTGTTTAGGTCGAAAAGCTTCTTTTTAGAAATAACATGTTAAAATTTTATTTTAATCGAGTTTGAAATTATTATTCGAGTTGAAAATGCTTATTTTCGAAATAACAAGTTAAAATTTTATCTTAATCGGGTTTGAAATTATTATTCAATCAAGACAATACATATAAAGAATAACCTTTTATCTTTTTCTCCCCGCCACAAAATTTTCCTTTCCTTTCTTTTTGTTTTTGTTGCTATCTTTTAGCATGATTGTTGGTTGCTATTAAATAAGCTAAAGTTTGGCTTATATATGATAAGTCACTTACATGACTTTCTTTGTCTATTCCGATCTCTTTTCTTTTCTTGATTTGCATTTTTTTCCTTATTTTGTATATTACGTGGGTTTTGGTCTTCATATAAGGTGAGACCTAACCCAACAATTCTCATCTTCTCAATGCATTTGAAGGGCTTTACCAAACATATGTCTTCAACAAAATTCAAACTTCTCTCTCGATAAAAGCTTATTCATCACATCCAATTCATTTTCGTCGGTATGGATCTTTTTTCATAATAAAAGACTTTGTCTTCATAACATCTCAAATTCATTGGTATCCAATCTCAATGTACTTCGATTGATAATGAAAATTAGGATGCTTACCGAGATAGATTGTACTTTGACTATCACAATGCATCATTAAATTCTTTTACTTTAGTCCAAGTTCATGTAAGATCTTTTTCATTCATAACAAACTTTTGCCCTCTTCGGTAAGAGCAATGTAATCGGCTTTTAAAGTAGATAGAGCAACGTATTTTGCAATTTCGACTACCATAAAACTATTTTTCCTATAAAAGTCATCAAGTATTTTGATGTGGACTTTTGAGAATCAATGTTACTAGTTATATCTCGCATTTGTGTATCTATCTAATAGAGATTTACCATTACCAAAGCACAAGCTATAATTAAAAGTGCATCTAAGGTACTTGAGTATCCATTTCACCATCGACTAGTGTTCTTTACTAGGATTGGAGAGGAGTCGACTTACTACGACAAGCTGCATGAGCTATATCCGACTTTGTACAAATCATGACATACATAAAGCTATCAACCACGAAAGTATAAAGAATCTTCTTCATCTTTTTCTTTCTTCATTACTTAAAGGAAACTATTTAAAATTTAAGTTAAAGTGTCTTGCAAGTAGAGAATAAATAGATTTGGATTTTCCATTATTGAATCTTTTAAGGATTTTTTTGAATATATATTTTCCGGGATGGCCAAATTTTTTTATTTTTCTTATCACAAGTAGTGTTCATGTCAAGAATCTGTTTTGTTAGTCTCAAGTATTTTATTACAAAAAACTTTCTCAACTCTCCCTTTAGGCTCGAATTTTCCTAACATCATGGCTAACAATCAACATATCATCAATAAATAGAATAATAAAGTGACCATCATCAAATTTTTTCATAAACATACAATGATCGGAGGTAGTTATACCATAACCATGCTTCATCGTGAAGGACTCAAACTCCTTATACCATTGTCTTGGAACTTGCTTCAACCCATACAAATTCTATTTTAGCTTGAAAACTAGTTGTTTCTTGCCTTTTGCTTCAAATCCTTTAGGTTATTTTATGTAGACCTTTTCATTTAAGCACCATAGAGGAAGACAATTTTCACATCAAGTGATTCAACTTCAAAATTAAGCTAGTAACTAAATCAAGAACAACTAAAATTGAAAATATCTAAACCACTAGTGAAAAGATTTCTTCAAAATCAATACCCTTCTTCGATCGAAATCCTTCATAACCAATCTTTTATGTACTTGGGCTATAAGTAGTACATCCAAAAGATTTGTAAGTCATAAAGTAAACATCGAGTGTGAACTAAGTTAAGAACATAAGATCTTCTAAATGAAGGTGATCTATGAAATGTCACTATATGTAGTTTCCCAACTAAACAATGAGTATAAGTATTTAAGTTCATACCTTTCAAAGAGAGAAGATTCTTATTGGCAAGGATCCTAAGACATTTCTCATTTAAATATCCAAGTCATCTATACCATAAATTAATGGAGGCATTTTCAATTGCATTCACCTCTTTTTTAATCACCTCAATTTTTTTACATATAAAGACCTATCTTTTTACCTTTAGCAATAATTAAAGAATCTTTAGCGAGATTTTATTTACCGTCTCTAAAGTAATTATGAAAGCCTTTTTCATCAAGTATACCTGTAAAGATCAAGTGTAGGCTTATATTGGGTATATATTTGGCATTCTTAAGTAGTAACTTGCATCTAGTATTAGTTTATAGCCAAATATATCCAATGCTCACAACACCAGTCATCTCTTGATTTTTCATTCTAACTTGACCAAAGCCTTCATTAGTGTAAGATGTGAAGAAATCCTATCGGAATATAACATGGTAAAAAAAGCTAAATCCGTAATCCAAATCATATCTTGACAAGTAAAACTTACATAACCATCATCATAAGCAATTGCAACACACCATTATAAATAACTATAGCTATCCCGTCCTCTTTATTTACCTTTTTTTTTTTTTTTTTGCCTTTACCTCTTTGATCTTTTTTGTGCTTTTTTGTAATCTCTTTGTTCAAACCTATCACAATAATAACACTTTATTATCTTCCTTTATTGAGATCTCTTTTTAGACTTCGATCTATCGTTTTTTTCACTTGGATTCTCTATCTTGCTTACTCGTAAAAAAATTTTCTCTGCCTTCTTTATTAGTTTTCTATAACAAATACTTAAGATTCTAAAGTGTTTAATTTTTTCCTCTATTTCACTTCATTTAGAATACTATACTTTACTATCTTTAAAGGAAGCTTTCCATTCAAAATAGAGTAGCTAAGTAACCACAAGAAAGTCTCTAAACTATCTAGCAATGAACTCAATAAGATTTATACTTGTATCTCGTCGGCTAACTCATAATTCATCAATATCAACTAATTTAGGAATATTTAAAAGACATTTAAGTATATTGAAGCATCTTAACCATCTTTGCTCTTCAAGTTTATAAGATCTTTGATCACAAAAATCTTATTTTGTGCACTCTTCTAATTAATCCATTTTCGACGAGCGAGTTATAAATTTTCTATTGATTGACTTTCATTTTATCTCCTTATATCGCCATTTTTTTTTTTTTTTGCATTGAAGTGGCAAAGCCAAATCATTATATTAAATGTTACCTTCCATCAATGTCTTCCACAAGCGATTATTAAAGGAAGTGAGTTTTATCATACTCGAATCTTTTTTTTTTCCTATTTAAACTTCATCGGAAAAATCAATCTACATAACCCAAAGCTTTGATATCACTCTACTGGGAAAAGAAAACCGCACAAACCAAAATCATAAACCACAAGTCTCAATTTTTTTTTCTTATTTGTGCAATTAAAATTAGAATCAACCAATAAATAATAAATAATATAGAATAAATAACTACAAAACTACAATCAATATGTAAATTTTCAAGTAAAAAACCTAATGTGGGGAAAAAAAAACTATAGGATCGTAGTCCACTCAAACTCTTTCACTATACAAACTAATATGACACCCAATTCTTTTTTAGGCTCAACTAGATGATACATATCAAAGTCATCATCACAAAAATAGATTCCAATAATAACAACAAATAAAGAGTTAGATCTCATCAAATAAGTTTTTAAAAAAATCTGCGAAGATAGAAGTTTCGAATGATTAACATCGTTTAAGCCAAAGAGCTCAAGCACTCGAAACAATATATCAAAATTTTATCTTGATCGATTTGAAATCACTATCCGATTAAAGCAATAAAATAAAGAATAACCTTTTATCTTTCCCTCCACAAGACATAATTTTCCCTTTTTTCTCTTTCTTTTTCTTTTTTATTATTGTATCCACTTGTCTTTGTTAGAAAATTGTTGGATGCTACTAAATACGCCAAAGTTATGCTTATATACAATTAAGTCATTTACATGAGTTTCTTTTCCTAGTTCGATATTTTTTTTAGTACTTTTTTTTGTGTATATAACAAAGGTTACGGGCTCTACATGAGAAAGGACCCAACCCAACACTTTTTTTAAAAAAAATTTATGTTTATTTCTTGAGCTGGTTATGATTACTTTATTTGGTTGTGCATAAATTGAAACATTAAATGTTATGACATCTATGTTTGTTGACGTCATAATTGATATAATATATTTACATATGGATAGATCTCGGTGGTTAAAGAGATTTTTTTCTTGACTTTCGAGCCTTAAGACCATGCATCATTATTGAAAATGTATGAGTAGACATGACAATTTGACCCGTCACGATGACGCCCCACCCCGCCCCGTTTGGGACGAAGATGGTATGCAAAATAAGCCTCGAACGGGGCACGAGGGCGGGGACGGGGATGGCCATCCCCACCCTTTCCTTTTTCCTTTAGGAATGGCAATTTAACAAGATTCCGTCCCACCCCCACCTCGTTTGAGGTGGAGATGGTACGCAAAATATCCCTCGAACGAGGCACGGGACGGGGGCGAGGATGGCTTCGCCCCATTGCCATCCTTATGTATGAGGCCAATATAAGAAATATGTTCTTAAATTTTTTTGAAGAAAACATTTAGTATTGATTGATGTGCAAACTAATTTGAGGATATTCTTACATTCAAACCATGAAAAATATCTTTTTTTTATTAAGAAAGCAATCTAATTGTCAAAATTTATATAGTTTTGAAAGAGTTTGCTTAGTTATATATGATGTTTGAAATTATTATTTATGCACTTGTTAATTCTATGTATTATATACGTAAGGTTATAAATGAGTAAAGTCAAGCCAAGTTTTGATATGGTTAAGATTTTCTTCATTTGAATAAGGCACAAACTTGGTTGGTTTTGATGATGGAGTTTAAGATTTGGAGTTCAAGGTTGTTTACTAAATTTTGTCAAATTAAAATTTAATTTAATTAGGATTATTTTGAGCTTGCTCCTTTTAAATTGATTAATGAACTTATAAATAGGTCTAACTTAGATTTTTATTTACTTTTTACATTATAGACTAACTATGGATGGATTGTTTAAAATCAATCGGAGAGGTATGTAGTCTCGTGAATGTTTCAAAGCTAGCCAAATATGCATTTACTCGTATTTATTAAAAAAAAGAGAGAGAAAGTCTATCATGTCATGGACCAATCATCATAATGAAAAGTTGAATATAATCGAGAGATTTAATAATATAAAAATTTTAATGATACATAGAAAATTACTTTATTGTACGAGATTTTACACAAATTGGTTTATTTATAAGCTCTCATATGAGGTTTTATTTATAAATCTAATTTATGAGTCCATTCAATCAAGCTTGTAAGTTTAAAATAAGTCGAGCTTCAAACTTGAAATTATTTATAAAATGAAATTTAAAAATGGCTTAGTTCTTTTTCTTTTCTTTTTATTTTTTTTAATATTTATAGGTAGTGGCGCATCTTCATGCTAGTTTTTGAATCGACCAATACTAAGTCTATCACTTTATAGACTAGATCGGTATTTAATCACATTTAGATTTTAGTCGATTCTAAAGGTTGGACTTTTTAGCCAACTAGTAACTTATGTTAGTGTCACACAAAAAATAGAATTTTTTCAAGAATGAGAATCGAAGTCAAAGATACTCTTCTTATCACTCCACTTACAACCTTCGTGGCATGGCTTAGTTTATTTACACCCTTAAACATTTGATGCATATATTCATGAGCTTTTTGTCAAGCAATGCTTTCTTTTCTCAAGTAGGAAATAGATGCTCAAAATTTTGACTCACATCCTTTTTAGTCCTTGGTTTAAGTATAGAAAAAAAAAAAAAAAAGATAAGAGAAAAGATTTATTTGAACATATTGTGCAAGAAACATTTTCTAGAATCAAACGACGAGCCAATAGATCGGTCTAGTGTTATGACTTATAGAAATTATACACAAATCAAGTAGAATGGATGCAAACGAGTGAGAAGCGTGAGAGCAAAGTTGACAATGCTAGTAAAACGCAAGTCGAGTGATAGAAAAACGGATAGTCAATGTCTAAATAGATAGAATTTTAAATGATGTTTAGTGTGTGAGTGGAAAAGCTTCAAGAAAAGAGAGAGAGTGAGTACAAACGTTTTGCTAAAGATTAAAAAGTTAGAATTTTTGTTGAAAAAAAACCTCTCACAATTGCTACGAGGTTGGTATTTATAGTAGGAGAACAATGCTCCTTGATTGCAAGGATTAAGCCATGCTATTCATATTTGGATGGTCGCATTTGACTTAGACATAAAAATTGACTTTTATGGGCTAAACTTCTTATTAGTAAAAGCTAAAAGAAATAACAATTTAGTCTTTATTTAGTAGATCTTTCTCTAAACTCATCAAGTTAATCTTTCTAATGCATTTCAAAGATAAGATATGAATGCTAGTCCTGTCAAAACATCTCGTGTTCATTTTTATGCTACCCAAAGCCTTATGTTAGATGAGGTTTATTCTCGGTTCAATTCATATATTGTATAATCTGGATTCGTGTAAAGAAAAAAAAACATGTATTGGTATATAATAAAATTAACTAAAATTTTAATTAACTTTTTTAGATAAATTCAGCATATAAACATATATTGTTGACATCCAAATTAAATTAAATTTAATTCGTGAACCGTTGAACAGGTTTGTAAATGTTCATAACGTTTATGTTCACTTGCAGCTGGATTACAACAGTATATTAACTGTACATTCATATACAATGACGAACTACAATTTGTGATCATGCTATCTTGAAATCCAGCAGCCCTTTGTCTCTGACTGTGTTGTCGGTAATATTAATACTCTTATTTCTACATTGTTCTAGAGTAAGACACTTGCGTTTATCATATAGTATTTTATTTCGATTTTATCTACTGTAGTGAAATTGGTGATGACGTTACTAATAATATAATTAATTACTATAAAGCTTGAAATCTTTATGGCATTTTGAAAAAACACGTTGGAGTTTTCATTATGTTCAGATCTCTGTCTTTATAATTATTCTAGTGAACGGTGTTTAATTAAAATATATTATGTTCACCAAAAAATCTAGGGCGTTCCACTATTAAAATAAGTTCACTTTGCTGCTCGTAGAAAGAAAATTTTTTTCTTTTCTTTTCTTCCTTCTTATTTTAATTTAAAGAGGACCAGTAAGAAATACAATGCCACGAAAATTGTATTTAACGAGTTCGCACCAACCGAAATTCCATTGGTTTAGGGTTTTTAGACTTGCATGCATTTCTGAGACTGAAGAACAAGTTGACTACACGCACATATATCACTTACTATGTGAGATCGAATTTGTACATATTCTTATAATGGTTACCAAGATAGAGTGAAAGAACATCAAACGCTAAAATTAACGCACTTTTCAGGTAATTAAACCATAATTTGGATTGTGGATGTAACAAGCTAGTCATCATCAATTAATATTTTTGGACACTTAACCCGGTGGGAGCATATTAATTATTATATATGCACAAGTGCAGTTCTTAAGAAAAGTATGGTTGCATCTATTTTCCTCTTTTTTATGGGCACAAGGGGCATAAGGAGTAGAAAGGTAGATCTGATCAGGTCCACTAACATAGGAATTTATGGTGCCACCACCAGAATTGAGTCGGGTCGCATTAAGCCTTTGCGTTTTTTGTCCGACGAAGAGATATGACTGCACATGCTGTACATGAACATGACTACATGGGCTAGGTAGTTAAGTTGACTGGTTGGCTGTCTAGCTATATTATATATAGAAGAGAATATGTGAAATTATTTCAGTATGATAGTTTATCCCATATAACAAGTCTACTAAAATATATAAATAAAAATAAAAAGTTCCATCTAATTTTATAATTTGTTATTCTTTATGTTTTTCATAAAATTTGTAATTAAAAAAATAATATATTGTTACTCATGCATTTATTCTTAAATAAAAACTTACAATGATCTAAATAAAAAAATTTAATCTAAAATTTTAAAAAGTACCTTAATATTTTTTTTCATAATATTTTATTAAAAAAACAACAATTAATATAAAAACTTGCATAAAAATTAACAAATGAATTTTTTATTTAATAATAGCAAGAAGATTATTTAAAAAAAATATGTACATTTGATTTATAATTTTATTCACAATACAATATAAAAAGTTGTATTTCAATCATTGGGTAGTTCTCCAAAAATATTATTTTTAATTATTTTATTTGAAAGAAATTAGTTTTAGAATATTAAAAAAATTAACGAGAAAATAGTTGGTATTATGTGTATGCATGCATAGTTAATTTTTAATAAAACCAATGATTTGAGTTTTCTTTTTATATACTATGACCATACTTAGTGGGTTTAGAGTGTGCAACATAAATAAAAAATATTAAAAAATAATTAAGTTACAAGGAATATATTAAAGTTAATAGACTAGAATAAAAAAATATAAAATTATTTTTGATAAATTTTTATTATATAAAGAAGAAGCAAATAAAACAAGTGAATTCTATTTTTTCAATTGATGATTTAATTTAAAAAATTGAGATAAATTATTTAAAATACGAGTTTTAGCTTTTTAATACTATCGTTTAATTATAAGAATTCATCGTATAAATTATATCAACATATTTAAAAATAAAATAAAATAATCATATTCTAAGATTTTATTAAAAAATTCATATATAGATAAAAAAAATCATATCTATTAACAAATAAAATTATATAAAAAAGAAAAATTAAAATTAACTTGATGAGAATTTTCATAAGAAATAAAAAATTAAAGAAATCAATTTTAAATAATAAGAATAATATAATCCGATATATATATTCATTCTAAAATCTAAAAATATATCATATATATTTCATCACCGCAAGCCTATATAAAATAAAAAAAATAACTATTGGTTTTTCATAATTTTTGCTCCCAATTTAATAATAAGAACATAAAAAAATTAGAAAAAAAAATAGAAGCAAAAAAAAAAAAAAAAGCAAGCCTACAACTTTGGGTCTAAAGAAGCACGATAAAAAAAACTTAGGGTTACCACACAACCTGTTTTTATTAAAAATAAACAAAAAAACAAACGATGCATCATTTACGTTGGGCAACAATACATGAACAACATGTAACTTTCGACAAACTATAGTTCATCAAAAACTTTGCCGAAATCATCTTTAGAAAAGCGAAGATCCAATTTCGGACATTTGAAACTCATTTTCAGCATCATTTTTTTTCAAAACACCTCAAAATCACTTAAATGAGATCAATAAACTCGTTTGGAACATTAAAAAAAATTTCAATCCACATTGAAAAAAAAAAAACCAAATTAGAAAAGTTAAAATTTTTAAGGCTCCAATCTACTTTCTTCAATTATTTGATGCATTGAAACCACTACAAACACACTCTCATTATCAAGATAAACAATATGAATGTAAGATTGGCAACAAAAGAGGTCAAAATCAAGATTGACCATGGCTTTCTCTCTCTTCCCTTATCTCTCTTTATTTCTCTCATCTCTCTACATCTAAAAACCAAATTTGTGACACAATGAAATTGAGGATAAAATAAAATATTTTAAAAGTGTCATGGACCAAAATGCAATATTGGATAAATTTTATATATAAATACATGAAGACAGCTTAAAAATTATAAAAATAACACTATAAAGTAAAAATACATTGTGTACATGAGTCCAAGTGAATGGTATAATGAATAATAAACCTCCAACTCAATTATTATTATTATTATTATTATTTGTTTTTGTAATGCATCGGGGCCGAGTACGAACTAAAACAAACTTGTGAAAACTCAAGTTTTTGCCAATAAAGTTGCTGGTATACTTGTGATTTTACCATTTTGTACTTGGCTACGTCATTGAGACATTTTTTTATGGGATATGGATGTTTTCAACAATGCATTTATGGTTTAATCGCATCACACAGTCTTTCTATTATTCTAATCTTTTTAATATAGCCCCTGTACTTTTATTTTATTCAACCCCTCTATTTATTTTTTAATTTTTCTTAATGTAGTTCCTCCAATAGTTTTTATTCAATTTTTCGATCAAAATCAATAGTTGGCATAAAGAATTTCACATGTCACGACATGTCAGATTAATTTGCCATGTGAAAAAAAAAACCAAAAAATCATTAAAGTTACAAAACTACCCTTGAATTATTTTGACTTTTTTTTTGTGCCCTCTCTTATTTCTTATTAGGATTGGTGATTTTGGAAGCATTTTTTATCGAAAGGAGGCCATTTTTATGTGCTATTGGAATTATGGTGCTACACTGCAGACAACTAATTGACATTTTTCCCACTTGAACCATGGAACTATGAAGCAATGAATAAAAAAACATCATTCTATCTTAACAAGGTTATGCTCCTTTTTTGAATCAGTTCACTATGATTGTTTTGACTATCGGGTGTACTATATAATTCATGTTTTATGAGTCTCTACTGCACAGAGATGGTTAAGCAAGAGAAGCTGCTAACAAATGGAGCACTAAGAGTAAAAGTTTCCACATAAGATGTCTCTCCTTTTGGTAACTAGCATTACCAATCAAACCAATGAATTAGGAAGTTCCATTTTTCGCTCCAAACCAGAATACCAGACCTAAAACTTGTTGCCTCTTTCTCTTTCGCTCGAATACCAGCCCCAAAACCCATTTCCTATTCATTCCTCATCCACCATGCCACATCCTCTCAGCCATCCAACGACAGCCTCTCTCTAACCACCACAACTCCAGTCGTTCCCCACAACCACATCGCTGATCTCTATCCTCTCAGCCACCACAACACTAGCTCTACCTCACAAACCCTCGTTAAAAACCCGATGTCAAAACCTCATCTTGCCACAAACCTTAGCATCGAAAGCCATCCTACTATCGCCACAAATCCTAATGTTAACATCAGCCACACAACCCAACCAAACTCTCTTGACCACCATCTCTTCAGGCTAAACGATGCCAAAAACCCTTTTAAAAATTCGATCGTCTACCTCCAGCCATTGTCCTGTCAAACACCGTCCATAAACCCTCACAACCACCACTACTTCAAATCGCCATAGCCAATCCATCCTAGCCACCCACGCTGAATCTGCCACCAGACCTTCCAACAAATCACTGCCACAGACCTTTTCTCTCCCTAACTAGAAATAAATGAGGGGACAAATGAAAGAGTGAAAGTGACTTGAGGATAGTTTTGTAATTTTAATGAATTTTTTATTTTTGATTTTTTTCTATGTGACAAATTAATTTGACATGTCGTGTCGTTAGAAATTTTTTATACCAGTTTTTAATTTTGACTGAAAAATTAATCGAAAAAGATTTGAAAGGATCACGTTAAGAAAATGAGAAAGTAGAGTAAGGGATTGGAAAAAACAATACAAGAGCCACGTTCAAAAATTTATACGAATATGAGGAAATTATAAGAATATGAGGATGTTTGCTGCGATTAAACCATACATTTAAATTTTTTTGTGAAATAATTTATTGTCGTTCCCATGCAACATTCAAGCAGCAGTTCACATGACTTGTGGGTTGGTCTGGTTTGATTTAGCTCCCAATGATTTATTGATTCAATTGTCGCTGATTGTATGGGTTCACTACCCTAGAATTTGTGTGGTTTGGTTTTAGTAATAAATAAATAATGTTGTGAGTTTTTAAATTTTTTTAGTGGTCATACTAGTTGAAACACACACACATGGTATATGTATAAGGAAGTAAGAGAAAATAGAAATTAGAGTTCCGAGAACGAAATATAAATAGTATTGACAACAAAACAAGATATGAGATTAAGATACGAAAAAAATATAATCAATAAATACATTCTTTTCGAAAGATTCTAATCTTTCAATACACTATTAAACATGATATATTGGACTATCTGAGTTTCACTTTAACCTTTTGTGAAATGGCATTGTGAAAAACGCATAGTTATTGAATAAATTATATATTTAAAATCTATTTAAAAGTTAATATTTTTTATTTTATTTTGATTTTTTATTTTAAAAAATATAAAAATAAGTAAAAATAAAAAGATTGATGAGAAAAAAATATTTTTTAAAATAAAATAATATTAAATTAATCATGATAAACACTGATCAAGAGATTAACTAATTAACTTTTAAAACATCAAAAAACTTATAGCTCAATGATAATAATCTCTTACAATAAGAGGTCACTTATTCAAATTTAAAACTAAAAAAAACTATTTAGTTCGTTTTGAAAAACTAAAAAGACTAATTTATAACTTTGCCCGTAGCTATTAAACAAAATTCGATCGCATTTCATAAAACCAAAGTACATGATTAGATGAGCCTGAGCCCTGCCCAAGACTTTTTTTTAAAAAAAACAGCAAATTCCATTAAAGCCCAAGCCTAATGGATACATGCAAGGAGCCTAAGCTCAAGTACGAAGAGCACAAGGCTCTAGACAAATGGGTATAAAAAATAGCCCAAAAAGAAGCCCTAAGAACTAGAAAATACTAACATGCTCAAGAAACCAAACAAGCCCACAAACATAGAGCCCAAAAGTAGCCAACTTGAAGCCTGTCTTGAATCCCTAGGTAGGCCCTACCCAAGATTGATGAGCATGTTTCCCACATCAGTTAGGATGTGTATGCATAGCTATTGCCAAAGTTAACTTCTTCTTCTTCTTCTTCTTCTTCTTCTTTTTATTATTATTATTTTTTTAGTGTTAGCATTATTTGCGAGTTATATGAAATTGTGTGTCTAATAAATCATTGTGATTTTATTTAGATAGTGCTATTGCTTTAACTTTGCAACAGTAAATGTAGAAAAAAGTTCTTGATTATACTGTGCCAATTTAACATGTAATTTTTTTAGTTAACTACAAAAATATCCTTAATCTATAGGTCCATTTCCAATATTACCCCTGGTTGGTTGATTGAATGAATTTTACCCATAATATTACATATATAACGCTTTCAATGCTGCCCTTCCATCCAAATTTGCTATCTAATTCCATTTAATATTAAAAAAGAAAGAAACATTTTAAACATTAGAAAAATAATTTTTCCATTTACATTAACAAAAACCCAAATAAAATTAAATAAGAAATCATTTTGTTATTTTTCCATTAAAAAATCATCTTTATTATTTAATTTATATGAGTTTTGTTGATGTTAATAAAAGAACGAAACATATTTTTTTTAAAAAAAATTCTTTTATTTTAGCTTTTCTGACCATTTAACAAAATAGATTAGCTGATTTGGATGAAATTCGAATGGAATTAGAATGATGATGAAACTTTTGATATAATCCATAGATACTGAGGGTTAACATTAAAATCTCATGATCCTTTTTGTAATTAATTAACCTTTTTTTTTTTTTTTAATGAAATGAAATCCACAAACTTTCAGATCTGGTTGGCATGAATGCCAACTTCTTCTAAGGAGAAAAGTCATTCAGTCTATTAATTCTAAAACATAAATTATTGTGGATTGCTGTAGATGAATCTGACATTTTTGTAATTTAAGTTATTTATGAATATTTAAATTCGAAGTTTGCATCGTACTTGATTTTGGTTTATGGAGTTTTAAAATAAAAAATTGATCTTGGCCGCATGCTTATGCAGAAGCACGTCTAAAGCAGCAAGTCTGCCTTCTTCGTTTTTTTTCTCTTTGATTTTTTTTCACCAATTTATGATTTTTTTATTATTAAATTGAGTGTGAAAATTATAAAAAATGAATCATTGTTTTTTTCTTTGGTTTTTTTTTCCTACTAATTTATGTTTTTCTATTATTGAATTAAGAGTGAATAATAAAAAACCATTTTTTCCACACTAACGGATGATTATATATATATGTGTGTGTGTGTGTTTTTAGGTTTTAGAATACATATCGGATGATATTACTTTTATTTTTTAAAATTGATCTCTTTAGCTTGCTATTTCTTATAAAAATTCTCATCAAATTATTTTTTATTTTTTTAATATAATTTTATTTATTTTTGTGTAGGTTTTTATATTAATTGTTATTTTATTTCTTCAATACAATGTTATAAAAAAATATTAACGTATTTTTTAAAATTTTATATTTAGATTATTATGGATTTTTATTTAAGAATAAATACATAAAAAACAAATCACGTTTTTTTAACTACAAAATTTATTAAAAAAATAGATGCAAAATTTTGATTACAAATATAAAATTGAACATATTTTTATGGACTAATAGGATAATGCATGCTCGTTAAATTGAAATAAATATGTTTAGTTCGATTTGTAGAGTAATGCAAAAAAATCAATTAGTTTTACCTAAAATGTTTCATTCCGTTTGGATGGTTGTGGTTAGGAAGTAAATTCTTTGATAGAGTAAGGTTTTAGAAGGGAAGAAGACTATGTTAGGACTCTCTCTCTCTCTCTCTCTCATATATATATATATATATATCTTTTGTATTTGTATACAAAGACTATTGGTTTAGTATAAAAATTGTTTTCTACTGCTATACTACGGTATTAGCTTTAAATTCTCTTCAAACAAATCTATTGTTAGCTTTTATTGAAAAATAAAAATAAAGAAGAAAAACCTTCTGTAGAATCTTGAATCTAGAGGAAGGAGCAATTTGTACTTTGTTTTGTAATTTGAAATTTCACAATTGAATTGACCCAATTTTATCTTAAACTATGTCTCTATGTTGATGTGAACAAGAAGAACCTGCCAGCATAAATAAGATGAGATCATGAAATTATTAAGAAAAGCTTTTTGAGTATTTTTTTTCGCGAGTATGTACCGTTAGGCACAACTCCCATTAGAATTAATTACACATGAGCAAATGACTTACCTAATGACGACATTTTTTTAATATTTCATCTATGCTTTATTTTCCTAAATTATTTAAGTTTGTCTAGCTCAATTTCACCGGGACTTTCGGAGTGATTAGTATTCCTACAATTCTAGAGTTTTTGCCGAGGTTATTTACAACCAATCTGTTTCATAGGCAGGATGAAATTTGTTTGATCCCCAGCCTACGGTCGTTGATAAACGAGACCAAACCCACCCATGGTAGTATATCTTGTCAACGACTTTAAAAGTGATGCTGTACAACCTAAGTTTTGGTCAGATTCTAGCGAGTTGGTTTTTAACAACCTACCGTTGACAAACTTGTTAATTTGCTAGTTTTGACTTCATACCAAATTTTGATGGAGGTTTTATCCATGCAATTGTCAGAGTTGTAGAGAGATCACAAAGAAGGATCATCCAAAATTGAGGGATGGTAGGGTTGCACGATGGTCACATAGAGTAATTAATTATATACAAGATTTCAAAATATTGAAGGAGGAAAGGGTTAAAAGAAAATCCTTTTTCTTATGTGATTGTTGAAGCATGGGGATCGATGGGAATCAGTGGGCACGTAGAATGTCAAGTGGGAGACGAGCAGGTCGGTTCACATGGAGCGTAGGTCCTTCTTCATGATCGGATGATCGATTTTCATCGTCAGACAGTCTACAAAACAAGGGGAGATCTTCGGTGATCTGGATGCGTTTTTATAAAACGATTCCGACGGTTAAGTCCTTATGTTTATGGTAAAATAATATATAATGGAAAAAAAAAAAAAAGGAATTGGAGAGAGTATCTGGATATTTTTAATTATTGGTGAACATATTTTAACTAGTGATTTAGACCTTTTTACATAGTGATAGGATATTTTTTTGAAGTTCCTTATTTAGAATCCAAGCGGCTCGTTTTTTTTTTTTTTTTCAAATATTCAAAGGACTTTTGGCAATTTCATAAAAGATACATTTTACATATACCAATCATAGTATAATCGCAGTAAATTAGCACAGTTATCGTTTTTGGTTTCTGCTTTAAAAGCTTTAATGTTGTAGTCAAATAAGCTATAAGAATGATAGTAGAAGTCATTTACGTCTAAGATCAACTTTTATTCCCTGAAGTTTCAACCAGTTCACAGTTCTATGCTATTTTCTTGTTATCTAGGGGCTCTACACTAGGGCAGGAGGGGCCGTCCCCGCCTCCTAAGTTTATTTTAGTATCTAAAGTAATATAGATTATTCAATTATGTCCTTAAAAAATATAAATTAGCTCCTCTTCAATGTTTATGAAATAAAAAGTTTTCAGCAATAATAAATGATCATTCCTTGTGCGATCTAATATATGAATGTATCTTTTTTTCAATTAAATATATATTGAAATTATTTATAAGAGAAAAATTTATTAATAAAACTAAAAAAAACCATTTATTTTTTTCTAGATAGCAATATGTATTAGAATTGAAAATCATATAAGGCATTCATATTTATTACATTGAAATAATGATCTAAATGGTCACTTGCACTTCTACGGTGGCGTTTGGAACAAGGTTAAAAAACAAGAGTGAATTGTTACAGGAGTAATTATTACAAAAGTAATTTTTAAGGAGGTAAAAGTTGGTTTTTAAGGACGTTTGAGGTATCCATAAATTGAAAGGTTACATGTTAGTGAAAAGAGATAAGATAATTAAATTATGGGTAAATTTTAATCTGTCTACTTGAAGTTTATATTTTTTTTCAATTTCAGCTAAAACCTGCGATTTGTTTCAATATAACTCTGAAGTTTATAAAATGTCTCAATATAACTCAAAAAATAGAATGAAAAAATTGAAATTGAAAAAATTATTTAAAAAAAAACTTTTTTTTTAATAAAAAACCATCAACACTATATTTTAGTCCTTTGTCAATACAAAAATATATCTAAGCTAAAAAATATTATAAAAATATTTTTTAATAAAAAACATCAATCACATATGTTGTTACCTGTCATACACTCTTTCGTCTCTCACTATACACGTTTTATCTAATTTTTCATTAAAATCTTGAAAAGGAATTCTAAAAAAACAATAATTAAAACTCCATATGAATGGATAGTAGTTTGAGCATGGGACAATTTTCACATCAATTAGAGTATTAATTATTTTCACTACTAAATAAATGTGCTATTTGATGGCAATATCCAAGAAAGAAAGGGACGTGATAAGTGAGAGAGATTATATTGGTGAAGGTTTTGATAATAAAAAAAATTAAATTAATTTGAATCTTTATTTTTACTTAACTATATAGTGTTGATAAAAAAAAAATTTACTACATGAAAATTAAAGTTGGGATTTACGAAATTTTTGAGAAACTAATCCTCTCAAGTTTTATCATATTTTTTTAATAAAACTTGAGAGTATCAGTTTCTCAAAAAAATTCAAATTCCTTTAATAAAAAAAATTTTTTTTTATCGATTTTCTGTTTCTATTTTTATTAATTTCAAATATATTTTTTAATTTACTTTTTGAATGATATTAAGATAGTTCTCAAATTTCAGATATGAAATTAAAGTTTGCACATTTGATGAAAAGAGGAGAAAAATGCACATTTGATGAAAAGAGGAGAAAAATTATAACAAATGTAAAAGATGTGGGACCTACTTGGAATAAAAAAAATATGGAGGCTGATTGGAACAGAAACAAAAAAATATGGAGTTTAATTGAAGTAGATTAAAGATTTTATATGAAATTAAAAATATATATATAAACTTGACGAGAATAGATTGAAATTTATCCTTAAATTATAAATGATGATCGACGAAGACAATTAAAAATTAATTTAGTGTATATTTTGCTTAAATAAGAAGAAGAGTGAGTAAATAATAATAATAACAACAATGATTTTGCTTGGAGGGTAATCATTACCCTGCATGCTTTACCCTCCAAGCATGGAGGGTAATGTTTGCCCTTAAAAAACAAGTACCGCCTTAATGATTAACTCCATAAAAAAACAAATAGGTTTAAATTTGACAAGGACAATATTTATTTTTTTAACTCCGTACCAAACACCCTCTAGCCCAAATAAAATAATGATCAGTGTTTAGTAACTGGAAATGTAATATTATGACATGTTTTTTTTAAAAAAAAAATTAAATTCTCTGGAAGTAATAACTCCATGGATTTCCATATATTGCAATATGTTATAAAAAAATAAAAAATTGGTAACAACAATAAATTTAAAGAGAAAAATGATGAAGAAATGAATTCATCATGAAATAAAGAGAATATAACGAGATAACAACTTCAAATAATTCTCTCAATCTCTATAAAATGCTTGTCTACAAACTAATGAACAATCAAGCCTATTTATATGTTTCAAGATTATGATGAGAATGGGAAAGGACCATGAACCATTAAAGGAACATAAATTATTGAATCAGCTTGCATCATCTTTTTGATTTCTCATATTGAATAATGAATAGAATTATATTAAGAATTCGAGTAATGAAAATAAGAAAAGCATATGAACATTCATATGGACATTCATTACTTCATAACACTCTCGTTTGAATGTCTATCATACAATGAACATGTCTCGTTAAAACTTTACTAAAAAAACACCCAATGAAAAAAAATCTTAGTGAAGGAAAAAGAGTACAATATTTTTTGTACATATTAATCTCAATGTTGAGCTCTCTTATTGAAAACATCATTTAAAATCTTTAAGATGTTGCATCTTAGTCTTATGAACCATTTTCTCAAAATTTGTGATAGGTAATGTCTTAACGAATAAGTCCGTCGGATTGTCACTTTGACATATTATTCATTTAATTGAATTATGCAAGTAGCATAATTCAATTAAATGGTGAATTGGATTACATTAAGAATCATGAGTGGTAGAAATATGAAAAATACATGAATATTCATTATTTCATAACACTCCTCGTTTGAATGTTTATCATACAAGGAACATGTCTCGTTAAAACTTTACTAAAAAAACTCCTAGTCGGAAAAAATTATAGTGAAGGAAAAGGAGTATAATATTCCTTGTATACGTTAATCTCAATGTTAGGCTCCCCATGTTGAAAACATCATCTAAAACATTTAAGACGATGCATCTCAGTCTTATGAATCATTTTCTTAAAAGTTGTGATAAGTAATGCCTTAATGAATAAGTTCATCGGATTGTCACTTTAACATATTATTCCTTTAATTGAATAATGCAATTAGTACTATTTTCATCTAATACTCGTTAGAACTTCTTTGCTAGTAGATAAACCGTATGTCTCTCGGATATGATTGATTGTTGATCTTAGTCAAACACATTCTTAACTTGCTTCATGAGTTGGTATTTTTGCATTGTTTGAATATCCAACAGCTTATGGCTTGCTTCATATAATGTCATAATATACCCGTATCACCAAGTATAATTACATAATCTGTTTATAATTAAGTTTTGTATAGATTAGATAAATAAGTCGCATCAAAATAACTAATTAAAACCGACTTTAATTTATTTAATTAAAATAAATACCATATCAATTTATCCTCGGAGATAATGAAAGAAGTGTTTAATTCCATTTTAGTTTCTCCGTATTAGAGTAAAACTATGACTTGCTAATAAATTTATAGAAAAGACTATACGAGGTCGAGTGTTACAAGACTAAGATATGGTACTTCGTAACCAATTAGTTCTTTGTTATCTTCTCGAGGTCAAAAAAGGGTTTTTTTTTATATCAAGTGAACAAATTACCATTAAGCTAGTCAATGGATGATCTTTATATAGAATAATCGTAGAAATTTTTCTATATAAATTGACTAATGAATAAAAATATCATTCCTTAAGTGTTCGAACTGCAGGTCGAGATAAAATTTTATTTTCCCAAGGTATTCACATTGAATTCTTTTTTTATATAACTTATGATACTTTGAATCTCTTCAATAGTTTCGATAACATTTAAATCATCTACATACATAACAATTATCGCAAACCCCTTTTCAAATTTCTTTATAAAAATATATAAACAAATATGGTTATTTTTATGAATTTCTTTCAATAAATATTCATTGAAGTGATTATACCACATGCATGCAAGTTAGTAATAAAAAATAGATATTGAAAAAAATAAAA